AATTTTAATCAATTATATTCATACTATAAATATTTGCATTAATATCAATACTTTACTAAGTCAATTATACTTAAATATTTTAAATTTATATTAGTTATTTTTCAACACATTTATTAGATATTATAGTAAAATTTTATAAAAAAATTTAATTAATTGCTTGCCATTAAATTTTTTCAATCTCAATAATATTTTTTACACAATCTTTAAAAACAATAAAATTTTGGTATCTTAAATTTATTGTAATATCTTAAAAAATTAAATTTTGTATTTTAATTTATGTATTTTATTCAAATTATATTTAGGATTTAACTTCTACATTGATCAAAACCAAATTAAAATTTAATATTATATTTTCATTTATTATTATTTATTATTCACTTTATTTACATATATAGCTTATTTTCTATTCGCTTAGTTGCCTTTCTATCTCTTAATCACATTCTATTTTATTTTTTGATTGAATTAATATTAATTTTTTTTACCATATGAATCGATATACAATAGATTGTGTAAAAAAATTATAAAAATTAAAAAAGACTTCATTATATTTTTATAAAAATAATAAAAAAAAATATATTTTTTAATATATAAATATATATTATTATATTAATATATTCTTGTATAAATTACTTAATAATAAAAATGTTTTAAAAACTATAGTTAAGCTTAATTTAAATATATTAAATTTAAAATTAAATTATATATATATAGATAAAATAATTATAAAAATACTTTATCCAATTATATATAAATAATTTAATTTAAACTTCATTCTATTTATATTATCTTTTAATTTTTTATATTTACAAAAACTAGATATAATTTTTTTTATATTTACAAAAACTACATATAAATTTTTTTGTTATTAACATAAACTAATTTAAATAAAAATAATTTTAAGTTATATGTAGTATATGAAAACCTAAAAATCTCTTCATAATCAAAAAAAGCTTAATTTTAAATTATTAAAAACTTCTTATAATTTATTTATTAATAATTATTTAATTAATGAATCATAGAAAATCAAAGAGAATAAAAATATAAAAATAAAATTAATACAACTAACAATAAAATATGAAAATATTTGTTTTAATTTAAAAACCAAAAACAAAACTTAAAAATGATATAAAAAATTAAATTTAATATATAAAAGCTAGCCATTTTTATTTACTTTTTTTTTAAAAAAAAAATTAATTATTCAAAAATAAAATATAAATATATTTATTTATTAAATAAAATTAAATTGTTTATACTTTGTTTATTTAAAATTATTTTAAGATACAAATATTTATCTATAGCTCTAATAATAATATTAATAAAAATTAAAATTATTTTTCATTTTATTTATAATTTATTCTTTATTAAGATTTATAATATATTTTATATTTAATTTAATCCTTTTTTATTTATAAAATTATAATAATTTATTAAAAAATAATATATCTTTGTTTAGTTATTATTTTTTATCACAAATAAATATTAAAATATATTATATATAATATAAAAAATAAAACTAGATTTTTACAAATTTAAAGTATTTCTATTTATAAATATTACAAAATGTTATACTAAAATACATATGTATAAAAATATATGATTTTTTTTTAATTAAATATAATATAATAATTTATTATTTAAAAAATAAATAAAATATTATAAATAAAAAATATATAATTATAAATTATATTTTTAATAAAAATACACATGTATATTTATTATTAATTAAACAAAAAAAATTATTTAAATTATTAGTTTTTATTTTAATTTTTTTATTTAAAAAAAATAAATATATCAAAATTTACAAATAAATAAAATATATATAAATTTAAAATAAATATCTAATAAAAAAATCAATTATATAGCAACTAATAAAAATTTAAATGTTGTAAATGACTTTAAGACTTTTAAAGTAAATATTAAATGTATTTATATATCAAAAATTTACATAATATTTAATATCTTTTAAATGAACAAATTTTATATTTTATTTATATATTAGTATGATTGCTTATAATTTTAATTTTATAAAAAAAAGTAATTTAATTATAAATGATATATTAATATTATTTAAAATTATAAAATAAAAATTAAAATTAATAATTATTTGAAAATAATATTTTTTATTTGTAAATTTTCTTTTTAAAAATAATTTTTTGTCATTTTATTTATTTTATATTTTTTTATAGTTATTATTTTATACTTTTTTTTTAATAAAATGTTTTTTTATTAAAATTATGTTTAAATATAATTATATTATAGTTTTTCTAATCTATAATTAATTTTGTTTAAAATAAAATCAAAATAAAAAATATTTTAGAAAACTTATAAAATATATTAATTAACCAAAATTTATAAAAAATAATTTAAAATAAAAACTTGCAATTAAATTAAAAAGCAAGAAAATAAAATTTATTTTTAAAACAAAAAAAATTAAATTATTAGTATTTATAAAAATATGATTTTTTTAAATAAATTAAAAAATATTATTTATAATTTTTTTTTATATACTATATTGACTTTTCATTATTATTTAGTTTTTAAAAAAATAATTATTCTAATTAAATCAAATATATATTCTTATTAATAATAAGTATTTTATTAAAAATTTAATTATACAAAATATAATTTATTTTTTAATATATATAATATTATATAATTTATTTATGCCTTTATCTAATACTGATTTCATTAATTAAATTTTATAATTAATTTTTTATAATTAAATACTAGATAAAAAATATAAAATAAAAAGGGCTTCCGATTATGTAATGTTATAATAAAAATATAATAATTAACTAATAAATCGCTTAATAAGATATATATAACAACTAATTCTAATATTTGTTTCATTTTGATAATTATTATATTAAAAATGAAAACAATATCTAATTTAATGATTTTAAAGAATAATCATATAATCATGTGTAATTTGATAAACTTTAAAATTAAACTTTCAATGAAAATTCACATTGTAATAAACTAAAAGACATTTGTTTTTCGAATTAAATTTTATATGATAATATGAAATCAATTAATATTTTTAACAATGAAAAAAAAATATCTTTTTAGCAAACGGAAAATTCTTAATAATAAATTTTATAAATATAGCAAATTAATAACTAAAAAAAATAAAATAATTGCATTAAGCTAATAAAATTTAATAAAAATAAATAAAAAAGTTTCAATGTTGGAATGACCACAAAAAAAAATTATATTTTGAATTCATAAAAAAATATAAGGAAATTTTATTAAATACTAAATTACGAAGAATAGAAAAAATATTTAAAAAAATGAGTGAATTTATAAAAACAAAAACACATATTTAATGTAAGTCATATAACTAAAAAATGCTTAGGAAAATATGTACACAAAAGAGAAACTATGATTTTATAAATATAATAGATAATAAATGAAAATATAATAATTATTTTGAAAAAAAGGGAAGTATACAAATTTGATATAATATAAAATAATTTTTTTCTATAAATAAATTTAAAATACAATTTATGTATTTATTTTATATTCTTGATATTTAAAACACTTTATTAAATTATATGTTATGTATATATTTTTATTTTTTTTAATTTAATTTTATAATATAATTTTAAAATATTATTTTTCTATTTATATAATATTAAATATTTAAAATAATATAATTTTTAATTATTCTAAATAAAAATATATAAGTTTTAAATTAATAAAATATAAAAAAAAAAATTATTGAAATAACAAAAAAAATATAAATTCAAATATTTATAAGGTTATTTATATTTTAAATCCATTATTAACATTAATTTTAATAATTCCTTCTAAATAAAATAAAAAAAAATATTATATATATTATAAAAAAATTAAAAAAAAAACTTACTTTAAATTATAAGAATCACCCTATTTAAGCAACAAAGGAACAATCATATTCTCACAAAATTTCATACAATATAAACTAATTAAATCTTAATTATTGCTAAGTAAAATTTCAATCGAATTTTCATCAACTCTAAAAAAATAAAATACATAATATATAAAAAACAAAAAAAATACATATTTTATTAAATCCCAATTTTAATAATATCATCCATTTCTTAAATTTTCCCCATTTAATGTAATTTAACTACAATATAATTAAAAATATTTTTCTTATATTCCATTTCATAATCTTCCATAAAAACCGCTCCCAATCCAACATTGTAATCTCCTCCATTTAAACTAATAACCATTTTATCGATTAAGCTTAATCCTTCCAATTTTTTGCAAGCTTCAAACTATCCTTTTTCAATAAACATATCTGCAAAAATATAATGTAGACTCTGATCAAAAATCTTACTAATTTCCAGGCAATTATTGAACTCTTCATGTTATAAAAATAGACAAAACTTCAAAAACCCATGATTTAGGTTAATAAATGAAATTTCCCTTTTTTCATTTATCATCATAAGCCTAAAATCATAAACCATTAACATTTCTAATTTTCCGCTTGCTCTTTTTTGTACTTCTGGGTATATACCATCGTAGAAATTCACCCCTATAATATCTTCTAGATTCAATATATCTCCTACATTAACTTTCCCTTCCAATTTAGCCAATTTAATGTTCAAAACTTCACTCTATAGATCACTAATGAGTACACCTACAGTCTCTTCAGTAACATAAAAGAACAGATTCTCCATGAAATATCCTGAATACACACTCAGATTATTTATAGTTTTAAAATATTTAAACACATTTCCTTTATTTTTAATAACTACACAGAAATCTTCATAAACACATACACATACACTCTAAGTTAGATTCCAGAACACATTTTTTGGTTCAATTATCGCCTTTCCGATTTTTATGAAGCCCTAATTTTTCTCCACATCAAAAAACTCGCATTTATTCAGCTTCATCTTCATCATTTACTCCTTAACCTTCCCATTGTTCTCCCCAATAATTTCCTCCATATCATTCCCATTCATAATATCTACAACTCCATAGAAATCCCCTTTTGAAAAAACCCTACTGGGGTTTATAAATGAGTCTTTTTTTAAAATTAATTAAATTTTCTTGTCTTCAACTTCAAAAATACCCACAATCTGCTTTTAAATAACATCTGAGTACACTACACTATAACTTTCAACAATTTTAGACTTAAATAAACCTCCTATAGATGTATTTTACACTTTTTCTTCCATTTTTATTAATTCTCCTTTCTTATTTACACCTAATATACACCCAAATTCATCTCTATATTGATGCCAAGCAATACTCAAACAGCAGCCTGAGTGTATTTTTTCTAAAGAAGATAAAAAATGTAAAGTCTCACTTTTATTGTCCTCGTCTAGCATATATGTGATATTATTTTTGTCCATAAAATGTTAATTATTAACTTTAAGAATTTCAAAATAACCTATTTTTTTATTAAAAGCGCTTATATATTTTCCACTTAAACTGCTAGTCAATTCACACATTTCCCATGTAAAATGTTACTTAAAAGTATATTATTTAGACTGAATTTCATTAATTGTAATTTAGTTATTTTATTATAACTGTAACTCGAATAAATTACAATATAAACTTTATTAATAATTATAAAGATACATAAAATTTAAAGTCTGTTAATTTAATTAAGATTTTTATTCATATTCACGTAATTTTAAAATTAAATTATTATCAAATTTTTTTAATGAAAAATCATCTTATATAAAATCTTTCATCTATATATATATATATATAATATATATATATATATTATATATATATATATATATATATATATATAAAATATTTATTTATTTATTTTTATTTATATAAATTATTTATCTTTTTTAATAAATTTATATTATTATATATATTTATAATTCTTTTTACTTATATAATATTATGATTTGTAACAAAATTATGATTAAAACAATAATGTAAGTTATTAAATTTATTAATATTTAAAGTATAGAATCCATGTGTAGTACCTATAAAAACTAAAGTAGGAATAACAAAATGTACTTATAGTATATTTATTTTTAATTGTTTATCAATTTCTTGATTATTTTTAAGATCCACTAATTCGCTAATTTTTATTGGTTAAAATTTTTCTTTTTATATATTTTTTATTCTAGCAGTATTTATTTCAAATATAAAAAGCTCTGAATTTTTATTATGGCAAACTATATATTCTTAACCAAATATATTTAAAAATTATATTTCTTAAATTTTATCTTTATTTTTATATCTTATTATTTAACTACCTACCATTAAATTCCATACAGTAATCTAATGAATAATATATATATATATATATATATATATAAATATAAATATATATAAATATATATATATATATATATATATTTATATTTATACATATTCTTCTGTAACAGTTACTAATGAAAAAGTTTATTAATTATAAATTATAGAAATAATATCTTAACCATCATTAGCATTTGTTAATGTTTTTCCTTTTTTAACCATTAAGAGACTAAAACTTGGTTTATCTATATTATTTTCCACGTTCCAACACTATAATTGACCATCTATAGTACTTACAATTAGTCTATTTCTACTCGATTAATCTTATTTGAAAGGGATAATAAAATTAATTGCTTTTGAGTGTTATTATCTAATATTATTTGTAAAATTCCAATTAAGGAAATTAAAAATCTTAATAGATCCATCTGCACATCCAATGGCTAAACAAAAATTGTCAATAATTTCTACTACTTTAATAATTTTTTTGTCTAATTCTTACTAATTTAAGCTTTTTATATTTTCAATAATATAATCATAAAAAAATATTTTATTTTCAAAAAAGACAATAAGCCAGTTTTGGCAAAAATTCTATAAATTTTCATTATTTTAATAACTTTAAGGTAGCAATCTATCTAAAATTTCCTTATCTAAAAATTTAATGCCTTTTATATCACTAGTTTTAGAATGATCAATTATATCTATACTATGAGAATGTAATGATTTTAAACAAAATTTACGAGAATAATCCCATATTTATAAAACATTGTTTTATGTTACGTATGATATTAATGGTTTTGTCATATGGTAGTCTTAATATTTTATTTTCGATTGAATTTTGATTTCAAATAGCCAATCTATTTATGCATTTTATAAAGTTTAGTTCATTAATATTATTATTTATAATTTAATTTATATTATTATTTTTTTTTAAAAAAAAATATAAATTAATTTAATTTTATATTATTATAAATGTCAATTTAAAGAAGTTTTAAATTAAACATTTTATATAATATATTAATTTTAATAAATATGTTATTTACAAATATTAGAAAAAATAAAATAAAAATGAATTAGATTATATATATTATATATAATATATATGATATAAATATGTTATATTTATTTATATAATAATATTTTATAATTTGCATTAAAATAATTTTTTTTTGATAATTATGAATTAATATAATTTATAAATTAATAAAACATTGATTATATTATTATTATTTTATTTACTAAAAATTTAATTTATTATTAATATATAATTATTTATTATCAACATTTTAATATTTGAAAAAAAAAATAAAAAAAAAAAGATATTATAACTTATAATATTTAAATAAATACATATTATAATAAATTATTAATAATTTTATTTTAAATTCTTTAATATTTTTAATAAAAATTTATTAAACTTAAATAATAATAAATTTTATAATTATATTAGTTTAATAAGTTTTAAAAAAGAATATTTGAATGAAAATTTAATTTTTATATTTATTATTATATATTAATAAATATATTATTATATAAATAAAAATATTTAAAAAATTTAATATATTTTTTAATTATTTTATATTAAAAAAATAAATTTTTTTTTTGTATTATACATAAAAAATAATATTATCTATATAAATATTTATAAAAAAAAAAATATGATATATATATATATATATATATATATATATATATATATATTTATTTTTATTTATTTTTATTTTTATACATCTTATTTTGTTTTATTATTTAAATATTAATATATATTTTTAAAGCATTTTATTTTAAAATAAACTTATTTAAAAATTTATTAAAAATTGTAAATAATTAAATAATATAAAAATCCTTATTTTATATATATAATTTTTTCCTTTATTATAAAATCTATATTTAATTAATATAACTTAAATTAATTATATTTTAAAAGTACAAAAACTTAAATAAATAAAAATGTCAAGTGACGGAATAATGCCATCTCACCTTGAAGATGGTTAAGAATTGACAGAAAGTTAAATGCGTTAATTAATTGAAATGCACGAATAAGGTTTAATTCCCGATTCTTAAATGGATTCTAATTAATACGAGGGTTCTTAAGAAAATAGTGGCATGGATTAAAATTACAATCACGAAGGTCAAGACTAATATGAAGATTAGTACGGTGAAGGGTATGATTATGATGAATACGAATAATAATAAATGCAAAATTAATCTGGTTAAGGATATGATGATAGTTAATATTAATAAAGTTATTAATAATAATAAAATTAAATGCATATTCATTAAAATACTGAAGTTTTTTTTTTTTATAATATTATAAAATTTAAATTTTAAATATATATGTATATATAAAAAAAAGAGTGAAGGATATGAAGTTGATGATGATTTTTTAAGAAAAGTCAAAAGAGAATTATTATAGCATTTAAATTAAGAAAGAAAAGTTAAAACATTAAACTAATTATATATAGATTTAACAACAAATATAATAGCACATGACTATTCTTAATTTTTATTAAATAATGATCATTCAAATGATTTTTTTGAATCATTGTATAAAATATATATATATATATATAAATATAAATATATTAATTAATATATAATATATATATATATAATATATAATATATAATATATAATATATAAGAAAAGAAAGAAATTTAAATGATGGTTAAACGGAATTATGTTTCATAGCTGCAAGATATGAGGAAGATGTAGATATAACTTAATAATATATATATGATTATTTTATGGAAATTGGTTATTTATTTTTCGAATGTGAAGTAGAAAAAAAAATATTAATGAGTAAAAATATATATACATATGTATTTTGTTTTATAAATTTGAATAAAAAATAAGATCCTTAAAATAACCATATAGGTATAGGAGTAGCTACAGATGAAATATAAATAGTAATAGTATTAATAATAACCGAAAAAGCTTTATGTATATAAAAAATACATGAACCTGAGCCAAATAAACTAGAAATTTACGGAAAAATGCTACAAGAAGACTTAGGTATATACGCGATCCGTGTTATAAATAAAGACGATTAAAAAAAGACGTAAAAGGTGTTGGTCCTGAATTTATAGAATATAACCGTTTAACTAAAGAATGGATAGCTATATTTGAAATAGAAAATAATAATATTGAAGATTCTCGAAAAGCGCTAGAATTTTATACTAGAATAACCCCAGATTCAATTCCATATAAGAAAAAATAAACTAAAAACGAAAAATTATCATATAAACATCTCCAAATTAAACTCAGGACACCCTATATGATATACCCTGACCCTAAATATGCAGCTGAAGAAGAATAAGAAAGAATCCGAAGAGAATAAGAATAATAAATTCTAGAAGAATAAAAAAATAATGTACCAGATATTATCCCAATTAGAGCAGAAGATGATAGTTATAAATCACATTCGGAAAACTCGGAAGATGAAGATAATAAAAATAAAGATAATGTCGACTAATAACCTAATATATAACCTTAAGATACTATATCTAATGTAATTTATAAATAGATTATAATTTATTTATAATTTATTTATATATTTTATATATATATATATATATATATATATATATATATATATATATATATATAATTAGAAAGAAATAAGATAAGAATTAGAAATGGCTATTTAAGAAGCATAAAGATAACATGATGAATTTGTGGAATAAAACAGAAAATTATAAGAAGAAATCAAAAATATGAAAAATAAAAATGAAGTTTTTGACAGAACTAATGAAACAGCAATGAATGAACATAAATATTTAAATACTTTAGCACATGTACATTAAATAAGATTAGATTTAAAATAAACATAAGAAAGATATAATAAAATGTCTTTAGATTTATAATAAAAATTAGAATAGAAATAAAAAAAATGTAATGAAATTAAATATGCATTTATTGAATTGAAAAGAGAAGTAGCTAAAAAAGCAGCAAACTCAAGAACAGATAAACCTATTCCAGAAAAACTAATAGATGAATGGGAATAGAGAGAATTAGAAAAATCTAAAGAAGTATTTAATTAAAAAAATAAAAAATATAAATAATATATATAAATATATATAAATATTAAAAATATATATATATATTTTTTTAATTATATTTTTATTTTTATATTTATATATATATTTAGTTATAAGAATTGAGATTATAAATTTTAAGGTTAAGAAATGCTTATGTCAAAAATTAAAAAATATTAAAAAAAAAAGAAGAATTAGCCGAAGGTTTACATTTAATAGATTTCGAATAACTTAAAATTGAAAACTAAACTTTAAACGAAAAAATTGAAGAAAGAAATGAAGAATTACATAAACTAAAAAAAAAAAATACTACTACTATACAAATACTTACTCATACAAGAGAAAAACTTGGTTTTGTGTAAAATGAAAATGAAGACTTTAAAAATAAAAATACTAAAAAAGATGAAGAACTTGCATAATAAAGAACATAATTAACAGAATATAAGAAAAAAAAAGATTAAGCTAGAAATGAATATCTAATACTTAAATAAAAAACTGGGTATTAATATAATATATATAAATAATATTTATATATTATGTATAAATAAAGAATTGTTAATTCTAATGAACTTGGATAAGACTATAGAAGTTTAAGATAAAGAGTTTAAGATTTAGAATAAAAAAAATAAAAATTAGAAGTTTATATATAAATATTTATATTATCATTTTATAATAAATAATTAAAAGGCAAAATTAGTAAGCATGCATGAAGTTATAGAAACAGGAAATAAAATTTAATAATAAAAAAGTTCAATAACTATGAATCGTTGAAAAATAAATATAAATATAAATATAAAAAATTTATATATTTATTTTAAAAATTATATAATAAAATAAAGTTAAAATTAAGTTTAAAAATTATAAATAAAAATTAAAAATAAAAATAATTTTTATTTTTATAAAATATTATATTTAAAAATAAATAAATATATATAGATAATTATATATATATTATATTTATATATTATATATAAATATATATGTATATTTATATATATATAATTTTATATTTTAAAAATTTAATTTTAATTTTATTATGCTTTTTTTTAAAATCATATTTGTACATATAAATAATATATTTATTAAGTTAATATAAACATATAAATAATTTTTATATAAGTTACATTCAAAATAAAAATATAATTATTTTTATAAAGATTTATATAAATATGTATTATTTTTTATTTTAATACATACATAACTTTATATAAAATTTATAATATAAATCTTTATTTTATTTTCATCTTATATCATTAATAAACATTTTGTCCATTTAATATTCTTGAAGCAGTAATAAAGGCAAAAACATTATTAGTAATAATAGCACCATAAATAAGTATTAAACCAATAATTCTCAAAGGATGAGAAGCACCTTTACTAGAAATATATGAAAGTGTGAAAATTCTTCCAATAAATTCGGCCAAAGAAACAGAAGCTACAGAAATAGGGAAAGATAAACCACCAATTAAAATAGCTAATAAACTAATAGTTAAAGTTTCAACAAAATTTTAATGGACTCTATTATATTAAAAATATTTAAATTCAAATATATATTTAATATTAGTTAATTAACCTTTAAGCTTTATTAAAAATTAACCATGAAGAATAATCTAATCTTTAAGAATAAAAACCGCTTCCCTAATCAGGAAAGCCCATATCTCTAATAGACAAGTTATAAGTATCCTTTATATAAATATATATATATATATATATATATATATATATATATATATATATTATATATTTATATATTTATATATATATGTACTTAATGAAGTTAACCAAAATTCAAATTCATAAAATCTTTATTAAAAGTACTGCTTCTGTAAGAAATTACTATATATTAATAAAGGAAGCATAATAAAGCTAAAATTATTGCAGCAATAATTACTAATCCATACCATGAACTTAAGGTCTATGAATATACTACATATCCTTCTTATTATAGATGTTATGAGTGATGATTAATATGCATTTATTTTATTACTATATTTTTAAATGTTGATATAATTTTATATATTTTTTATTTTTTATTTTTATTTTATAATATTTTAAAAAATTATCAATATTTTTATATTATTAGGTTTTTTTAATTTTTTTATTTTTTTTTTTTATTTAAAAAGAAATATTTTAAGAAAAATTATAAATATTTTTTATTTTTTCTTTAAATATTTTATAGATAAAAAAAAAATATAAATTTTATTTATAATATTTAAAAAATCAAATTATTTTAATAAATAAATAAAATATTATATATATATATATATATATATATATATATATATATATATATATTTAAATTAAATTTAATTTAATTAATAATTTAAATTAAAACATATATAAAAAATAATCATATACAAATTACTCATAAAGATTTGTTTTATTAATTTTAACTTATATGCTTATAAGCTAAAAGATATTAAAACTTCGATTTATACGCATTATTTTCTTCTATTTATTTTTTTAAATACTCTGCATTTTCTTATTATTTTTATTTTTAAAACATTAAATAATTACTTTCGTATTACTATAAAGAATTATTACTTTATTATATAGCTTCTTAATAATAATCATCGTAAATTTTATCCTATTTATCTCTAATTTATTTTTCCTACATTTATTTTAGTAAGAAATCTTTCATTTATAATTTTTACAATTTTTAATTTTAATAATTATTTAAATTTTCATTTTATTCATTTTCTATATGATGACTTAAAATATTTTTAATTAAACTTTTTTCAGATTAATTTTATTAAAAATTCCTTAAAATAGGAAAATTATTTGCTTATTTATTCACTTTATTTAAAACTTATTAAAATTTGGAATTATGAGCAACTTATCTATCATGTTCTTGTTTTTCTAATAAATCAGTATACTTTTTTAAATAATTTATATCTTCTTTTTTCTCTTTATTTTTCTCTTCATACAAATCCCTATCATATTTTTTACTATTTTAATAAAATTCTAACTCGGCTTTTTTTTTCTTATATATTCAGCCTTTTATTCATCTATTTATTTTTAAAATTGATTTCTTATTTCTTAATTTTATTTCTCATTTATTTATTTATATTCATTTTTTTTAATTTAAATATATTTTTATTCATCTTTTCTAATTTTTTTAATATATTAATTGATTATTTTTACATTTTTATCTTTATTGTCTTATTAATGTAAAATTTATAAAATTTATTAATGTTTTAATTCTTTTTCTTTTTCTGAATTTTCCTTTTATTTTTTAACCTAAACTTATTTATCATAAAATTCCTTTAATTCTTATTTATTTTTCTATTATTAATTCTTTTCTTCCCTTTTTTATATTTCGAACAATTCTAAATCTTTTTTTACATACTCTGCATATCTTAACTCCGTAATTTAATTTTCTAATTAAATATTATTATAAATCTATTTTTTATTTTCATAAGAATCTATACTATTATCATTTTCATTTAAATTCTCTTATTCTTTTTAAGAATAATTGTTTTAAAATTTTCTTAAAGGACTTCTTTAACATTTTTTTAATTCAAAATGAGGTTTAATTTCCTCATTTTTATAATCTTTCTAATTGAAAGAATTATTACTAGCTTTTTTTATATGAGGAGGAGAAGAATTTTAATTTTAAATATTTTTATTTACCTATTATTGTTATAAAATAGGTGAATTTATTTATTTCTTTATAATTGATTTTATTTAAAAATTATTCATTTTTTCATCCCAATTTTCTTAAAAATTACTTTATATTTTATTTGGTGATTAAAATTCTTATTTTTATTTTTTTTAAACTTTCTTATTTTATGCTATATTTTTAATTAATTATTTCAAATCTTTTAAATTCTCTGTATTTACTTTTTATAATTAATAGTTATTAAAATACTAATCTACATTATATATTATTTCTTCCCTATTTATTTCCGGATAGTCTTTTTAAAATTTCAGAATTATTATATTCTTTAATTCATCCCTAGAAACTTAACTTTTGGGAGAACAAACGCTCTTTTTTAATGACTAACAACGAATTTATGATGGACTTCCTATATTTATATTATTATTTTTTTAGGATTTTTATTATAATAATGTAATAACATGGTTAAAATTTAAAAGTTTAAATAAAATATTTATTTATTTATTATTTTTTTTTAAAAAAAAATAAATAGCAAAAATGTATAATTTTTTAAATTTAAGAAAAAAACAGAATTTTAAATAATAAATTTTCTATATTTAATTTTTATTATATTATTTTTGTAATTTTCATTTAATTAATTATTTAAACGAAACAACAAAAATTCAGGATAAATAATTATTATATTAAACAAATAGATAAATGTTTATTAATATAGAAAGTAAATATTATTAATATAAATAAATTAATAAAAAATATTACAAATAATAGATGAATTAAAATATTTAAAAAAAATTATATTAATATAAAATCCTACTTTTATTTATATTAGATAATATATTATCAATACAAAGGATATAAAAATATATTATTATTAATTTCATATATTATTTTATTTAATAAGATAATTATTATGTTTATTATTACTATAAAAAATTAATATAATACTTAATTTTATGTAAATTTTTAAAAATTAAATTATAAATATATATATATATATAAATATATATATATAAATATATATTATTTTTTTTTAAATAAAAAATAAATATTAAAATATATAATTAATATATAAAAATACAAATTTATATATATAAACATAAAATTATTTATTTTCAATCTATTATACTTAAACAAGGAAAAATAAAATATATATATAAATTATATTATATTATAATTTTATTTTTATATATTCAAAGTAATATTTTGTAATAAATAAAAATTACTTAATATTCATATCATATTATTTTTAAAATATATATATATATTTTACATTAACAAATAAGTTTATTTGTGAAATTTCATTATTTTAATATAAAATATTTACTATAAAAACATATAATTTAAGAAAAAAAAAAAATATACTATATAATAAAATATACTTAATAATAGATTATTATAAGAATATAATAATAATAATTTACCATAAATACTAAACATATATATATATATATATATATAATTTTTTTTTTACTAAAAACTTAATTTCATATATATTATAATTACAAAAATAAACAAATAAAAAATAAAATAAAATAATATTTCTAAGAAAACAATGAAAAAAAATATATAAAATATATAACTTTTTACTAATAAAATAAACAATTAGCATAAAACAAAAAACAAAATAATTATTTTAAGAAAAAATAAAATAAAATGAATAATAAATAAGAATAAGTTAAAATAATAGATGATTTAATCAATTATTACCAATAAATCATTACTACTCTCACATAATTAAAAAAAGAAGAAATATCCGAAAATATACAATATTAAATAGCCTAAATACATCTAAATGCTTCGAATTCACTCATCTAATATTAACAAGCATAATATAAAAATTAATTATTGAGAATATCTAATATCTCTAATATATCCCTTACTCCCATATAGACAATAAAAGACGACGAATAATAAGAATTCATGAGAAAGGTATACATTGAGGCACCAAACTACGAATATGAACAACTTGAAGATATCGATAACCCAAATAATAACTATAAAATAATAAAAGACAAAAAAACTGGCAAATGGTAATAAGTATTATAAATTCCAGAATAAATTGCAGATTTTATTCCTTTCAAATAACCTTTAAGTAGTAGTTAATGTATATATAAAAGTCCTATTTATTAAAGTAATTATGTAAAATAATAAAAAGATTATATTCTGAACATAGTTTCGATTAAAACAGTACTGTTAATACATTTT